AGAATAAAATATATCTGATGTCAACACCTCCGAGTTATGGAAAACGTTCAGGCATCATAGTTTTAAGAAGTGAGATAAAATATACCTCTATAATATATACAATTGCACATGCATACATACAAAAAAAAATTAGAAAATGTTACCATTTTTATAGCTAAACCCACAGTTCTTAAATTGTACACCTAACCAAAGAGTTATATCCCAGAACATCTCACACTAATTTAATAGAGAATTGAGAAGATTTTTAATATTTTGCTTCACTGTGAATCTCAGAAAACCTTACGTTATTGTTTTTAAGAATACTTTCAGAGAGTTTTCTTGACGAAAAATTGACCAAAAAGAAATAAGTGTATAAGAAAGTAATACTAATCTCATCTCTATATTGAGGTTTCTTTGTTTAGTAGATCTAGTAATTTAGAAGGAGAAAAAAAAAAAAAAAGAAACAAGAAACTGAACTGTAAGATTTGCTGATTGCAATTTCATTTTGGCATGTGTAGTTGCTTCCTTGCACTGCTTTTACTAGCTTGCATTTCTTAATTTGTATTTCCCAGTCCAATCTGTGACTAACACTTTCCAATTCACACCTGAATTGCAAACTGTATCACAAACTGTAATGAAGAAAGTCACAGGGCTACATTCTCTCAAATTCACATTTTTCTATATTTTTTTAGTAATTGCATTTAAAAAAATTGTGAGCAGAAGAATAACAAAGTCAACTGGTCTGGGACACAGAAACTGAATTAATACAATTCAGCAGAGTGTATGAATACTTTTTCTGTACTGATAAATCAAACTTCCCTACTTGAACAAAACAAATCAGCTGGCCTCCTGCCAAGCATTTTCTGAAGTGATTTGAAGGGGAAAGAATCTGCTCTCCACCCTAAATCATTCTGTGCCAGGGAAGATACGCAGCTGCTATTGCTACAGTCTGTGGATACTGTTGGCTCAGAAAGAAATGAGCAGGAATTGCAGCTTACATGATTGTGTTGTCACCAGAACTGGTCTTGAGACTATGGAAAGGACAGCATCAATGTTGATTGATGCTTTTTTCAAAACAAGTTTCTAGATGTTTGCTAAGTAAGGACAGGATGTACTAGGCGTTGCTTATATTCAGTTTAAGAATAAGAGAAGCAATGGACTAAGAAAGGAATTGGGACTTTAAAGTTATGAGCCCTCAAACAACTAACTTTTTCTATAAATAATAAAATTTACTTCACTCTCTTGTTAGTAAGTCTTCATGCTGGTGTGTATATATGTACAAATATTAAAAAAAATATATGGTCATATATCATCTCTAACAAGCTCTTACAATGGAAGTCCGCATCCCAAAATCACTACTGCAAGCATCATTAACTTCCTAATGATAATGTCAATTTGTAGGATAGGGGAATATAAGGCAATGAGCTTGTTCCTCCTTATACCTCGCAAACAACAGAAACTTGTGTTCACGCTCTTAAATGGCGAAGCCTATCCAGACAAATTTATTTGATATGATTATGCTGACTATGCCCCTTTGCCCGTGTCTTCTATGAGAGATGAAAAGCTGGGGCAGCAACGAGCTTCTGCTGAGCTCTGAGCACTGTCAGTCTTTCCTCCCCATCCTTTGCTGTACCTGGGGCTTGACGTGCTTGCCACCTGCTCACCAACAGCTGAGCAGCACTGAACTGTGGATGGACTGGGCTGCAGCATGTGATGTTTCCCATGCCCAATCCCTCCTCCCTGCACAAATGACAGCTTGTGTCTGTGTTAGGAACTGAAGATTTATAGGATGAATCATATCAGAGTGTGGTCCTAAGACCACCTCTGGACTCACAGCCAGTTGACAATAGTAGACTTATTCTGGTTCTATCAATTCCAGCACAACTTTCAGGTAACGCGAAAAACAATCCAATACCATACTTGGCTTATTCTGCACATTTATGGATATGAAAGCTAATATTGTGTAACTTAATATTATTTCATACATGACAATATGATGCTTTCTATTTTTACTAAGCATGCCTAAATTACACTTCAACAATTCTACTTAAGACCAAAACAGCAGATCCAAAGTATGTCAATGGAGTGATAGCTGTCCATCACTTGGATTTGCATCAGAATTATAAAGCTGTTAGCATGAAGTTTATTACAATGGTTTAAACAAGAGATAAGACAAAGTCCAATCTGTGCTGGAGAACTGAATTGCTTTGCCAAAGGCTGCAGAGAATTGGTGTAATATAAATCACAGAAAAAAGACGTGACAAATGGCATGAATATCTACCAGGCAGTTAAAATGGTTTACATGACACAAAAACTCATCTCAAACATACAGAAAATCATTCAATATATTGGGATATTTCCCAAATGACAGAGTAAATAAGAAATAGGATTCAAGAAATAGCACGACAAACCTCTCAAAGAACGCAGGTAAAAGTTTTCATATCGATTACACACAGTGAGAAACTTTTGCCTATCTGGAATCCATATTTATTGGGACTTTCAATTAAAAAAAACAAAACAACAACATTCCAACCCACATAACTCAGGTGGCAGTGTTAATGCAAACATTCCAGATGTGGAAAACAGTCATTGACAATCCCATCTTAGTGTGCAAGCCAGAAAAATGAACACTCTATTTTCTGTTAGTTTGGAGCTTCTCTAGGAGTTAAGAGAAAAAAACCTAATTGCTCTGAAAGTATGGAACAGATAACTGCAATAAATATAAGTCACGAGCCTACTGACAGGTGCTGTTTTTATAGCATAACTCATCTGTTAAAATGAAACTTTAAAGTTCTGAGTCTCTTGGAAGACATAGGCCTGAAACTCCAACCTTAAAAATGATTAAAAAGCAGAGTCTCATAAGGAGGTGATTATCACAGAATTTCTGGTTTTGCTTTTGTTTTTTAACTCTGTCTTTGGAATTATTGTCTGCCATAAAATGACATACCCAGGGGTGGCTCTCATCCTCAGGCATGGTGGAATCTGTTGTCACCAGCATTTTAAAAAGCTTGCTGAAATCTTTTTTTGCTGTCTTAATATTGACATGTAGCAGTGGCATAATGCAGTGAAGTTTAACAGGAAAATATCATACAAAACTGTATAGGTTATTTATTATCAAGAAAATACTAACAAGGTGAAACTAATTGTTATATTTTTGAAATGGAAGAAAATGGTCATTTCCATACAAAGGATCTTATAACTTTGTTGTACGTGCCCCTTTTCACACACAGTCCAAGTTGCTGCATGTTCTTCTCTGTCAGCTTCGGGACAGTTCTCTTGTGCAGATACAGGGAACGGGGAACTCTCCGATGCTTTTAAGCATTACTTAACAAAAATATAATCTATGGTAGTTCATTACGTGTTCTAACTTGCTACTTATAACGTGTAACAGCAACTCAGACTGAGCCTGAGAAGGAGCAGGGAGAAGTCGCAAAGTCCTTGACAAAATAATGGCCGTATTTTCTTGTTTTCCAATCTAGAAAAACTAAGTATTTTTATCTCGTTAGTATTATATTGAAAATGTATATACTGCTTTTCTTTTGCACCGTATTGTTCTCTTAAACTTCTGTTTTGTTATATGCACATGCATGTACACACACACACACGGGCATTGACTACAAAATTTTCTATTGAGTCACACACCAGCTAGAAATTGAGAGAGCCAACACAGGGTAAATCAGTCTAGAACAAATTAAAAAATGCTGCTTCACAACACTTTTTTCCAGTGGAAATGTAAAGAACAATTAAAACATTTGAAAGATCTGCAATAAAATCCACTAACGTCAAATATAGCAAACGAAACTCTACATTTTTAACTAAATTGATTGATCACCAGTTCTTCGGGACAAGTACCACATTCTCTTCACACTTTACAGCACAAGAGGCAACTGAAAGCAGTCAGATAATTACAGGCCTGATCTAAGCTCATAAAAATTCTTTATACCTATAACAATACTATACCACTGTTGTTTACAACCTCTGCCTGTATTAACCAAAAAACCCAAAGAAGCTTGAGTACGGCAGAATTTGGGGACAAAAGCTGTCCCTTATCTGGACAAACCAAGAAACAAAGACAAGAAGGCCACATATTTTCTGCCCTCAGTAAGGAAATTTTAAAAATTCAAAAAGCTGAAATTATTCTTTTAAAAAGTTTCCCCCCTCAACCAGAGCTTCAACAGAAGTGGTTTAATGAAATATATATATATATATTAGCAAAAGATAGGATTGAACCATCATAACTGTTACAAAACTGGTGTTTTATCTATCATCTGTTACATGAAGAGGGAGTACTAACACTATTACAAATGTGCAGAAGCCAAAGGAGCCAAAAGAAAACAGATGAAATTTATTTATAGCAAATATTATGATTTTCGTAGATGTACTAAAACCACAAACAAATTCCAAATGACTCTAAACAATATGTTATAAAATCGTTTTATGGCACAGAAAATAAACAAATGTTTTAAC